TTGATTTCAATAGGCTAGATCAGAACATGAATGCATGATGAATCATCTACCCCTTATCTTCCTTTACTTTTCACCTTCATCACATAACTATTGGTTATCAAAAGATCATATCTGTGACTGCTTCAAAGTCAGTTAGCCTAATATTGTACACTTGTCCATTTATTTTTATTTGATTTGTGTGAGAATGATAAGAAACTGATGTGTAATTGAACTGATTGGATATGTGCAAAGAATGGATAACATAATTAAGAATCTAGACAAATTTGGAGGGGAAATAAGTCTCATTAAAATTATATTTAACATAATTTAGGTGTGTATACTTTATCTCAAATATATATTTTAACATAATACTTACAATTTTATACAAATGATTGCTTACTTAATAGTCTAATACAAATTATACAAAATAATTATACTATCGAATATATATAATATATAAATAAATAAAAATCAAAGATTTTATAAAGTGGGACAAACTAAATGCATATATCAGTAATGAAGCACCTAAATTCTAGTATCCAATATCCTATTTCTCAAACCAAGTATTAAAACATAAACTGTGAAGCACCTAACATGAATCATGATCATGCATTAGCATAAAAAATTTACCTGAGGTATGCAAAGACTTGAAATAGTGAGACCAACAATTATATCTCCCCTAAACTTCTTAAGATTATAGCCTCTCCCCCAGTTAATAATTGGGAATATGGCCTCAATACAAAGAACTAGCTTTCTTGACTTAGTTTGGTCTTTGAAGGATCTTAGAGGATCATCAGCAAAGAATGTTTCTTTAACAGTATATTGGAATTCCTTGAACAAGTTCTGTTTTGGAGGAATTGCAACTTTGTATGCATTTGGTGTTTGTGCTTCATCATCTAAAGGCGATATCTGGTTTCTTTCTGTATCTTTATGAGTTGGAATCCATTGGAGATATCAACAGTGACCTTCACTATGTTATGTTATAGAGAGAAAAGTCATAACCAGTGATGGCAATAAAGTCTAACTGTAACATTAAATTAGAATATGATATGGTTCATAAATATTGCATGCAAAGTCTACCATGTTGCTTACACCTCAACTAGATAGTTCATAAATGAAGCTAATCAAAGATATAATTATAGAGACCGACTCGTAACTCTAAGAAACTCATGGACCACGTCGTCCATTGGATCGAGGGTGTGTCTTAATCGGTGTCATCAGTTCAACAAAAACAATGTTGGAATATGAGTTGAATTTTTAGGCATGCATATCTGTTTTTGTTCAACTAATATTCAAGTACCAGACCGCGTTGAAACACTTCAAATTTTCATAAAATAAAACCATACATAGAGAAATAATACCTAGCAAACCTGAAGAGAAGATTTGAATGGTCACTGGTTCAATCTGGTTCAATCTGTAATACAAATGCTTTATTGTGAAGCTATTGGATTATATAACATGAATGATTTTATCTTCGAGTCAATGTTCTCAAGCTCAAATTGAAAACTTAACAAATTAATGTGTGAAACGTATCCTTATATGTTATTAACTAGTATGGGTCATAAAAATAACACAAAAAGTTGTAGTATGATCTTAAATTTATTTTAGTCTATGTACATTAAAAGATATGTATGTATCATCAATAGTTCAGCATGTCTTAATTGGCACTGCACTATCGTTTATGTATTTTTTCTTACCCCATTTAACATGCATTCATACTATCACCAAACTCTACTTGAGAATTGTTATTTTGTCATGCGCAGGTTATCTCAATGCATTCATACAACCATTAACTTAATCACGCGTCTCATATATTTCCTCCTGCATTTTTTACTTGCATAATAAATTGACATTAAGCATAATAAAAAAAATCAGTAGCAAGACCAAATAGAAACATGAACAACACAGTGCATCCGAGGTTTTGACATAGTTGATAGTAGATCTATGTATACTCAATGAGAAGTATCAATATTGCAATATTAAACAAAGTTCTTGTCTTAAAACTTATCAATATTTAGTAGCAGAATCACACAGGAACGTAAACAACACAATGCATATGATTAAAACAGACATAACACTAGTGTAAAGGCAGAGGAAACTAAGTAATAAAACCAATAAAGACAATGTTCACATGATCTTATTTTACTAAATAATAAAAGCATTAAACATTCAAAATGCTACTAAGAACTATTGGTAGTTAAAATAATTTTCACAAATTCCTTCCTCAATTCAAGAGTATCCATAGTGAAAAAGCAATCCAGTAGATTATTGTCTTTGGTGATAAGCATGGCAGCCCTTACCACATCTATAGCTGACAGAACTTCAATTTCTTTTAAAATCCTATAATTTGCTGCTGCTGAAACAAGATAAGAAAACAGACTCAAATCGATGCAAATTATATTGAAAACGAAAATCCTATAAGAAACCGAAAAGCATTAACGTACCGTATAGTGTAATAGGTAAACGTGTGAATGTTGAATATAATGATTAAAGTTGAATAGAGTAATTAATGCAACATATGTAAATTGGATGCTATTGATTTTGCATATCCACTACATGGAAACTCTGTTAATTTTCATTTCAAATGCATATATGTGATGTTTAATTGAATAGTAGAGCCTTAGGGGTTCTTACCATCAATACCACTTTTTACTTTTCACCACAAACGCCACACAACTCGTTTGTTCTCCGATTGATCCAGACTACTGTGATGATATAATTGCATCATGTGATGGTCTCATTTGTTTAGCCAATAATTCTCATGTTGTTCTCTGGAACCCTTTCATTAGAAAACTAAAGAAACTACCCTCTTTAGAAATTCCACAAGATCATGGAACACTAACATATGCATTTGGTTACGACCCTTTCGTTAATAATTATAAGGTTGTTTCTGTGTTTTGCTATGATTTTGAATACATCTGCTGCCAACTACTAGGAAATATTGATTTGTTTAGCTCTGATATTGCTGAGATTAGTTAGTTGTAAATTAATATATATATATATATATATATATATATATATATATATATATATATATATATATATATATATATATATATATATATATATATATATATATATATATATATATATATATATATATATATATATATATATATATATATATATATATATATATATATATATATATATATATATATCAATGCTGATTTTGGTTGCTGTAATGTATAACTACTATGGCTTAAGGGGAGTTATAGTTATAGTTGTGTATGATATAGGGGTTTATATAGTGCTTGTGAGGTTTTACAGTATACCATGTGGGATGAGTTGTATAAAGAAGTAATGGACAAAATGTATAATAATTATAAATTATGAAATGGTACAATAGGAGAGATTGAGGAAATGAAGCAACATGTGAAAGAGTGAGTTTTAGCTAGCAGATGAAAACCTTGAAATATGTTTAGGTTTTTTGGATGCTTGTGAGGGCAAGTCACAATATCACTCACATCAATCTATTTCATATCTCAAAAATTAACATATTACTGAAAGTGAAAAATATTTCGAAAACCATGTAAGATGTAGGTAAAATGTATTTTTCATTTAAAATACTTTTTTGAAATAAAAAATATTAAAATAAAATATAAGATATATATATGTTAGTCTAAATCCTGCATTACATAAAAGAATCGCTAACCATCTTGGTTTTGGTTTTGGTTTTGAAAGAGAAGAGTGTGTGTAATATATGCCTACTGTGTGTAATATATATTTTATGCCTACTGTGTGTAATATATATTTTAATCCTACTGTGTGTAATATATGCCTACTGTGTATTACACTTGGTATGCTGCTTTGGTTTTTGTTGCAGGTAACTTTTCTCTTCTATGATTTCTACCAACTATTGATATGCTGCTTTGGTTTTTGTTGCAGGTAATTTTTCTCTTCCACTTGCTTCGCTGCTCTTCAAACCCTCGTGCGTCTTTGAGGTATGATTTCATTCTTAAATTTGAGTGTGCCTTTACTATATCACTGTTTAATAGTGTTAGACTAAAAAATTTTATCTTATAAGAATTTTATCTTAAATTTGAGTGTGCCTTTACAAATACATTATTCTTATAAGCAATTGTAATAACCAAAATTGCAATGTTTGCAATCGCATTCATACGGGACCGTAAAAGCACTTTAAAATCCTAGTACAAAGCAATATTAAGGTCGCACTCGCACACTGACACAACATAAGTAAATATTATTGAAGTACCTAGCTAAATGTAGTAAACATATTGATATGAAGTATTTATCCATATATGTCTGTTACATGAAACTGTATTATACTAATTGATATCACAAGGCTTCACCTATAAACTTGTTATGTAGTGTGTAAAAATAAATTAAACAACCAATAATAAAACTCATCTCTTTTATTTTTCTATTGTTTATATTCAAAATAACATGTTCTCGTAAGTACTAGAATTCTGAAAATATAATTTTTTTTTGAAGAAATGGATAAGTCATGGATTATTAAGCCACAATCATCGATTACGTATCAAAAAGGGATACAAGAATTTATTGATTTTGCATTTAAAGGTGCAAAAGAAAATGACGTAGTAATATGTCCTTGCAAACGTTGCGGTTTCAGAAAATTAAAGAGTATGAGTGACATGTTCGACCACTTAAGTTGGTCACCATTTCCGCAGGGATACACCATGTGGATCCATCACGGAGAGTCTTTTGTACGATCTAGTACTATCTCCCCTAGTACTACTCCAAGTATGGTAGAAGATACTAACATTGTCGAAGAACCTATTTAGAACATGATCAATGATGCATTTGGAGTTTATGGGAATCATGCAAATGAAATACCATCTGCGTCAAATTTGGAGATTGAACAAGAAGATTATGTGATGCCAAGCTCAACTCAGGAAAGAAACGAAGCCAAGGAGTATTATGAGTTGGCTAGAGAAGGAGAACAACCTTTATATGAAGGGTGTAGACAATATTCAAGACTATCTTTTTTGGTTAAGTTGTACCATATAAAGTGTTTATGTGGATTGAGTGAGAAGGCAATGACAATGATTTTAGAGTTAATAAAAGATGCATTTGAATATGCAAACATTCCAAGTTCATTCTATGAAGCCAAGAAATCAATCACAAAACTTGGTTTGAATTATGTAAAGATACCCGCATGTCCAAACGGTTGTATGCTTTATTGGGGAGAAGATGAGGAGAGGGAGACTTGCAAAAATTGCAACACTTCAAAATGGAAAACAAATGAGGATGTCTCTGTTAACAAGAAAAAAAAGAAAATTCCTGCCAAGGTTCTTCGTTATTTTCCATTAAAACCTCGATTACAGAGATTATTTTTGTCATCAAAAACGGAAGAGGATATGAGATGGCATGCAATAGATACTAACAATGATGGAATGTTGAGGCATCCTAGAGATTCAGAAGCTTGGAAGAAATTTGACTTGACACATACTTGGTTTTCATCAGATCCACGGAATGTGCGTCTTGCATTGGCTAGTGATGGTTTTAATCCTTTTGGTGTGATGAGTACAAACAATAGTATTTGGCCAGTTGTTCTCATACCATATAACACTCCTCCATGGGTTTGCATGAAGCAGACATCATTTATAATGTCAATGATAATTCCCGGTAAAGAGGCACCAGGAAATAATGTTTATGTCTACTTACAACCATTAATCAAAGACCTGATGGAGTTATGGACAAGTGGTGTGGATACATACGATTCTTTCAAGAAAGAGATGTTCAAGTTGCATGCAAATTTGATGTGGACTATTAGTGACTTTCCAGGGTTGGGTTCACTTTCTGGGTGGAACACATACACAGGACTTGCTTGCCCATCGTGTAACTTTCAAACTACACCTCTCCGTCTTAAAGCTAGTCGTAAATGGTGTTTTATGGGTCATCGTCGTTTCCTTGATCGGAGACACAGGTTTAGATTGAACAAGATCCGCTTTAATGGTGAACAAGAAATGCGGAGTCCACCGAGAACATTATCTGGACATGAAGTTTTTGAAAAGGTTAAATATGTTGAAGTCATCTTTGGTAAAAAGGCAGTGAAAGAAAAATTAGTAAAAAGAACACGTGAGGAACAACCTATAGAAGATGATAGTACACAATGTGATCCTACAAAAGGTCATCCTCAACAATGGAAAAAGAAAAGCATATTTTTTGAACTTCCGTATTGGAAAGATAATCTTCTACGCCATAATCTTGATCCGATGCATATTGAGAAAAATGTGTGTGATAATGTCCTATTTACTCTACTGAATGATAGGCAAAAGAGTAAAGACCATTATAAAGCTCGAGAAGACCTTCAAAATATGGGCATAAGACCTGATCTTTGGCCTGATGAAAATGGTAAAATTTCTCCGGTTGCCTTTAGTTTAACAGGTAAAAATAAAAGGAATTTTTTAATGACTTTAAAGAATATTAGGGTGCCTGATGGTTATTCAAGCAACATTTCTAGATGCATTGACTTAGTAAATCTCAAGGTGAATGGAATGATGAAGAGTCATGATTGTCATATATTAATGGAACAACTTTTACCATTAGCCATTCGCACAACATTACCTCATGAGGTTTCAGCAGTATTGATTGAGTTGTGCTCATTCTTTAGACAATTATGTGCCAAGGTATTGAAAATTGAAGACATGGAAAAATTGCAAAACCAAATTGTCCTTACTTTATGCCATATGGAAATGTTATTTCCTCCCTCGTTCTTCACGGTTATGGTCCACTTGGTTGTTCACCTTGTTGAAGAAGTTAAACTTGGATGTCCTGTTCATTATCGATGGATGTATCCTGTTGAAAGGTAAACTATGTGATTTTGTTCTAATGTTACTAACTTAATTAGAAAGTAGAAAGTTTTTTTAACTAGTGTTATTGTGGTTCAATGATAGGTACTTGGGAAAACTTAAATCGTGTGTACGTAATAAGGCAAAACCAGAAGGGTCTATTGCAGAAGGATACCTTTTTGAAGAGATTCTTACATTTTGTTCAAGATATCTAGAAAATATTGAGACTAGATGGAATCAACCTGGACGTGTAGATGACGACCCTATTGATGATATCCAAACTGCTTCACGTGTAGCTGAATTATTTCCTAGAGTTGGAAAACCTGTGGGTGGATCTTCTTATTACACCCTAACACCAACTGAAAAATTGCAGGCTCATAGACACGTTTTAACAAACTGTCCAATAGTTGACGACTATCTAAAGTATGTAGTTTTATTACATTTAAGTAGTTTCATCTATACTATTAATATTTTTTTACATCTAATATCGAATAATCAAATAGGCAGTTTCGAAGTTTTACTCAAAACCAAATGAGGCGCAGTCAAAGAAGTGCTACAGAGATAGACAAGAAGGTTCATAAGGAGTTTGCACATTGGTTCAGCAATCGTGTGAGTTTTCATACAAAAATAGATGTTTTATTGAATTGGTTTTTAATAATAACAAGACAAATTGAATGTTGTATCATGTATAGATTCGCAACAATCTTGACAACATTCATGGGCCAGATAAAGATGTTCTCATTAGTCTTGCTCATGGACCTTTTGATAAAGTTAAAAGATTTACCGCGTTCAATGTCAATGGATTCAAGTTTCGAACGTTGGAACGAGACAATCTTTTAAAAACTCAAAATAGTGGAGTTTTTGGCATGTTTGGGACACGAAGTTATTCAAGCAATAGTGATACCCAAATGAGATTTGGAGGGGTCCCTTACTATGGAAGATTAATAGATATTATTGTGCTTTCCTATGATGGCTTCACAGTGCCCATGTTTAAATGTGAATGGGCTAATACCATAAACCCAAGAGGAATTAAGATAGATAAGTTGGGTTTTACCTCTATAAACTTTGCAAGACTACTACATACTAGTGAACATGAAGATAATGAGCCATATATTCAAGCATCTGAAGCTCATATGGTTTTTTATGTAGATGATGAGAGTGAACAAGGATGGAGCATACCTGTTCATTTGAAGCCAAGAGACTTGTATGACATGGGTGGAAATGATGAAATTATGACACCCATTGAGCCATATCCATCACAAAATTTGGAACAAATCTTTTCAAATGATGATCTTGGAACTTCAGCGACAAATGATGACAATAGTTAACATATAGTTTTTTATTGATAAGAATCTAGTTTGTTTGTAACTTGTGTGAGACTTAATGTATGATATTCCATTGTTACTCTATGTTCTTTGTTGCTTATCCCTAATTAATATGTTAGATGACATTGTTACTGTATGTTTTTAATTTATTGTGTTTATGTTATGTTAATTAAATTTGTATTCACTAATATATAATTTTGATGTTTACTACTTTTAGTGTACTTAATACCTATACTTGCAGTTGAAGCCTTTTGTGAGACAATGACTACACCATATGAGAATAGTCGCCTCAAAAGAATTGCAGAGAATAAGAAAAAGTTAGCGGCTCTCAATCTTCCTACACTCTCTCAATCCCTTCACAAATCATCAGAGTCTTCTTCCAAACCATCACTGGCCAGTCATAAATTCTCTATACTACTCCATACAAATTAATTGTACTTATTATTTACTAATATTCACTAATGTATTTTATTTAGTCTGTGAAGGGCCGTTCAAGGTTTGTACAACCTGGAGAGCTTGAAGTAAATAAGAAGCACCTACGTTCAATTACAACTCACAAATCATCAGTAACCCCTCCACCAATGGAAACTACAATAACCCCTCCACCAATGGAAACTACAATAACCCCTCCGTCAATCCAAATTGCAAAAGATGTTGTGGTAGAAGATGAGGATGAAGATGACATGGTAGGAGATGAGGCTGATGATGTTGTGGTAGGAGATGGGACTGGAGATGTTGTATTAGGAGATGAGGCTGAAGATGTTGTGGTAGGAGATGAGGCTGAAGATGATGTGGTAGGAGATGAGGCTGAAGATGTTGTATTAGGAGATGAGGCTGGAGATGTTGTGGAAGGAGATGGGACTGGAGATGTTGTGGTAGGAGATGGGACTGGAGATGTTGTTAAAGTGGCTAAATCTGAGTATTGGGATGTAAATGTCATTAGTAAGTAATTTAAGGTTAAAGTATCTATAAATAATTTAAATTTTTTACATAGTTGAGTTATGAAATTAATTTGTTTACTTTTTTAATGTGATAGACGAGGAAGGTTATGTTTCAAACACACGTTTATGTGTGAAAGACTTGGTTGCGAAATCAGAGCCTGATGGAACATGGATAATACTTGAATTTAATAAGAATGATTGTGCAGTAGGACCGGCTTCTGGTTTGCTAGCAGGATATTTGGGTATAATTATTAGAATGTTTAGAGATATTCCCATAATGTTTGAGAGTTGGAAGAATGTTCCAGCAGATACAAAAACAAAGTTTTATGAATCAAAGATAAAGGTATTATTAATAAAAAATTACATATTTTTTAAATTAACTTCATGGTGATTATTATTTCCTTTGTCAACTAATATATTTTTATGTTTAGCGCCATTTTCTTGTGGATGATGGGCGTGACAAAGATTTTGTACTTGCTTCTGCTGCAAGGAAATGGAAGGATGCCCGACATCCATTGTTTCACAAATTTTATAGATGGGATCTCCCTTTGGAGGAAAATCTTCAAAATTATCCAAAATGCAGAGGCATTCCTGAAAATGACTGGGCTGTTTATGTTCAATATAGGCGGAAAGAAAAAACACAGGTAACATTAGTGTTTTTATTTGTTAGATTTCTCTGGTTTGTATGTTATCCCTATCTATAATGCATGTTTTTATTTGTTACAAATGTAGAAAATATCCCAAAAAAATTCCCAAAATAGAGAAAAATTAAAGGCTCCGCATACACTCGGATCTAAGTCGCTTGCAAGGAAGAAACATGAGTTGGTATGTCTAAATCTATATGTTGTTGATCGTTTGCTTGATAGTACAAACAATTTATATTAGTTTTTATTTGCAGGAAATGAGAGATGGACGAACATACAGCAGAGGAGAAATGTATGTAGTTTCTCATAAAAAGCCTAACGAGTCATTTATCAATGAAGATGCATACAACAATAATGTAAGTACAAGTTAATTCTTTTGAAATACTGGAAAAAAAAACGGTAATAGTAATAGAACCATCCCAAATAAAACTCACCACTGGAATTTATATATATAATATGGAGAAAGAGCCCGATATATGCTTGGATTCCACTTGATGACATTGTAAATGCCAATCGTGAAAATAGATAGTAACCATAGGATGATTATGGGAGGAAACATGAAAGCAATCGCGTGGGAGAAAAAATAGCTCAATTTTATTCTTGTTATATAAACAATAGCTCAATTTTTTCTTTTTCATGTGCAGAAAAAATTACAAGCTGCAATTAAGGATTCTGTGTCTGAAAATGAGGCATTTCAGAAAGTATTTGGAAAAGAAAAGCATGGATATGTTCGTAGTATGGGACTTGGAGTTACACCATCTCAAATTAATTGATCTACGAGATCGACATCTTCTTCTGCAGAAAGTGAACAAATAAAGGAAATGCAAGAAGAAATTAATGCACTTAAAGAAAAGAATTCAAAAATTGATGAATTAACACAGGCAATCATATTCTTAACGCAAAGGGACAAGGCGAGGACAAAGGAAATTGAACTCTTAATGCAAATGCAGAATTTTAGTGGAAGACAGGTATATTATTTTGACGCATTTAAAGTTAAATTTTAGGAGTATTATTTTAAAGATTATTATTTTAATACCTTTTTTTAGGGATTGGAATCACCCGCTGATGGTAGACGTTCATCTGAGTCTAGCTACCGTATTGGAGATAATGGAACTTCAGGGGGGACAAATTAGACTTTGCTATGATCGAGATAATTAGATTGTGAACTTTCTCATGTATTTTTGGCATAATGATACTTATTATTATAAGATTAGGAATTGATATATTTTGGGTTTTTTGTACTACTTGACATGATTATGGAACTCGCATTTTACATGATTATGGAACACACATTTTTTTGGATATTATAATGCTTATTTGATGTTAAATATTTTTTATTGAAATTATTTTTACTATATTACAAAGTGATAGAAAATAAAACAAAAAATAATACTATAAATAAATATATTAAAGAAGAAATAATTTAAAGAAAAAAATAACACAAAAAAAAACTATATTTAAAATTTTTTACATAGATAATAATTTAAATAAAAAATATATATAATAGAAAAATAAAAAAAAATCAAGACATAAACAAAAGTCATGGCGACAGTACCGAACCGTCGTAATCAACAATTAAAAATAATCAACAAAAGTCATGACGGTATCGAACCGTCGCCATAAACAATTTAATCAATTTCAAAAGATATTCACGACAGTATCGAACCATCGCCATCAATAATTAAAAGAAACTCAAAAGATAGTCACGACGGTATCAAACAGTCACCAATACTTGATTATGTCCGCTCCAAACCCGTCGTAAACTTGAACGACAGTTTTTGTAACCGTCGCGAAATAGGTTGGGGACACACACTTCTGCAACGGTAAAGCAACCGTCGTGGAAAGAAAATTGCGACGGTTTTAACCATCGTAATCTACAAAAATACCTGTCGCAATCTGCCAATTTTCTTGTAGTGTACCCACTATACATTATTAGTTTACAAGTATGAAAACAGTGTGCGTAAGTATATTTCATGTAAGTCAGTAACCTTTCTTTGATATAAAAGGTCTTCTATATATATCTTCCAATTCTTGATCGTTAATTCCTTGATGATAGTGCATGCATTTGATGAAGTGTGTTTACAATGATGTGTGTTGCGTGTAGCGAGTAGGCTTGGTTTTTATGTTTCCAATGCTCGCGCGCGTAGTACACTTGAGTGCGTTAGCCGTCTTAGCATTTAATAACCAACGGTAATATCAGAGCTTGTCTCTAGAAGTTGAAGTGTTTGCTTGCAGCGTTTCCATTTCAGAGTTTACTTGATCTTTTCTTCTATCAGAGTATTCTTCAATATGTGTTCATAAGAGTTTTCTTTAATCTTATATTTATCAGATGTTGTATTCAGCGTGCTTCTATCCGAGGTTTCTTAGGATTGCTCTTCATTCTGAGTTTTCTTTATACTTGCGTAGAATCCTGTTTCTTTCTAAGATGCGTGAGTCAGAACATCATCTGAACTTAGAGAGCATACATGTCAGAGTAGAAAATAAATATCACAAAATTTATTTCATTGTTATCATCAAAACTCTAAGATATGATTAGAACCAAAATTTGTTCTAACAGCCCTAACTCCGGTCACCTTCTTCGGCAAGCCTAATTTCTGAAACCTGCACAAGATCCAAAACCAATACGGAAAAGAAAGCTTATCCCCCTAAATCGACCATTGCGAGTTCAATGGTGACCTCCCTTTTGGCTAACATGACCTGTACAACGAGATATGGTAAAAATAAAACAGCATGGCATAATAATGGTGGATTCGTATTTGGACATTCAAGCTTGCTAATGATGCATCACACCTGTTCTAAGGATGCATATGAACACATGCACATAGGTCGAAGCATTCAAAAATGTATAAAAATTTAGTTTCAAGTCTAACCAACCTTGCTTGACCGGAGTTGTTTGGTTACGATGTTTTAAGATGCCACGGGCTTCAAGAATGATAGGGACGGACTCCTGTGAACCTCAGGATGAAGATGGAGTGCATGGGACAGACTGAAGGAGGCTGGATCATGTGAACCAAGGTTGCTCCTCTTTGAATTTTTTGAAATTTCCCTAGGGTTTTTTTTGGCAGCTGCGTGTATACCTAGGTCTGGAATTGTTTGTTCATATATATGAGACCATATTAGGTCAACAAAAACAGCCATGAGATCAAATATAATCATGTTTTTTAATGTCATAAAAATTAAAATTTCCAAAACAATAAAATCTTTCCCTCCTCTTGTGTTGATATGCCAACCTATGTTATCCATTATTTTATGAGAAAAAGATTCCAAATCATATCTTTCATTATTTCTTTTATTTATTTATTTAATTTTGCATTTTAATAGATAAAATATCAAAATAAATAATATAAATAATAAAATAATGTATAAATGAGCTCAAAGGTCATGGGCCATGTTAGAAACAAGTTTCAATCATGAGAAA